CCGAAATTTGCAGAAACATTGTCGCCTTTGTGCATCGAATCCAACCGTTCAGCACGTACTAGGTTTGGTCCAGATGTAACCTCAGATCTTACGCGTACAATGCAACTGATTTCGTGTCAATCCATTTTGCGAGCGTCGTGATACGGCCTCTCGAGCGAGACGTGTCGCTACTGAATTTCCTACAACTCTGGTCACAAATCATCAACTTCTCTCTAGCTTTTCTCCCTGCTCAAGCGTTGTCACAGGTCGTGCCACATATCAAAACACTCGTCTTTATTAGACGAACGAGCTAAATTTGGGCTCAATCCAACTAAGAACGAGGGAGATATGGCTCATTAAAGTTACTACCCAAATTGTGAAAGCCAGTCTCCATTAATGGAGACTGGTGCAGGTAGGGCGCATGGGAATAGTGTGTGGCCTACCCCTTTTCAGTCATTTGCTGATAACTTTATCTTGGAGTGTCCGATGAGCCGAAACATTACTCATAGGGGTTTTCGATCGTGCCGGACCCAATGGTGGTGGTCTCACAACCATTTTACGCTCCGACAATAGGGTTCCAATTATAAGGTCTATTCAGGGTGCTAAAAGCTGATTTTTTGAAATTGTTTCTTTGTCTTGGCAGGTGGCCTTTTAAAGTTCTTAAGAATATTTCAATTTGTTCTGGGATAATTCTAACATTTTTGAGAATTCGACTCATGTATAAGGGCTTTATTGATCTGCTCCTCTTTATTTGTGCAGGGGACACAGGGCGTTGAAAAATGCCTTCAAACAATGGTAATTGCCATATGACTTCTACAACAGTTATGAAAACTTGCCCTTAGATCCGTCAGTGCCTAATTGTATGCTTTGTCTACATAGAAACTGTATCCTACAGTTTTAGTAAGTGTTGATTGTACAGTCTCTATAAAAATGTCATTGTAGTATAATATTATTCATTCAATTGAATTCAGAGAAAGATTTTTATCTCACATGGTATCAGAGCAAGAGCCCTTATGGTCTTGTTTGGGCTTCCTGCCTCTCTAATATGTATCATGGTATTCCTCTCGATCTCTGTCTGATCTATATCACGGTATTCCTCTCGATCTCTATCTGACATGTATCACATTTGATATGTATCACGATATTCCTCTCAATCTCTGCTCTTTTCCTCTCATAATCATCCCTCTTCCCTTTAATAGACTCTCTCCCATCGAAGCCCTAATCTATATCCTTAGACTTGCGATCTGAGCCTCCTCCTGTTCTCTCTAAATCTGAATGCCATTGATATTCTGATTCAGCTAAAATACTTAGACCTACGATCTGAGCCTCCTCTTGTTCTCTTTAAATATGAACCCCTCGATGCTCTAATTCTAATAAAAACCCTAGACCTGCGATCTGAGCCACCTCCTGTCCGCTCTAAATCTGAAATCCATCTATTCAAGCTACTATGTCTGTCATCTGCACCTTAGAGAAGCTCTGAGGCTATGTCATCTACGCAAAAGAAAAGATTTGAGGATCCTATTCTCTCTAAATCTGAACTCCATCTATTGGAGCTACTGTCTCTATCATCTGCGCTTGAGAGAAGCTCCTAGGCTCTACCATCTGCGCTTGAGAAAAGCTCTGTCTCTCTCCAACTTATCAGATCTCTCTCTCTCTCTCTCTCTCTCATTAGGTCTCTCTCGCTGCTCTCTCTCTCAACAGATCTGCTCATCTTCCCATTGAGCCTCTCTCTCTACATTTACTTTTCTTTGTCTCTCTACACTTTCCCTTTGAGCCCCTCGCTTTATGTTTACTTTTCTTTCCCTTTGAGCGCCTTTTTCTTTCTCAAGCAAAAGTTCTCATTCTACAAAAGTGATAGGGATCACTTTAGGACCATTTTATTCCTTGATTACCCTTGTTCCTTTTCAATGGACAAATCAAAGTACCCATCAAACTCAATGGCATCAATTACACCTTTTAGGCCTCATTTATGCAGAATGTCATTCATGGAAAAGGCCTCCTCATATACATAGATGGGACCCAGAAGATACCTACTGAACCGGAAAAAATAGAAGAATGTAGCATAAATTATGCTCAAATTATCACATCGTTGATGGGCTCATTTGAAAGTAATATAGTGATCAACTTAAGAAATTTCAAAATTGCTCACGAAGCATGAAAATTTCTTGAGGAAATTTATAATCAAACTAACTGGGCACCAAAGTATCAGTTAGTATAGAAACTTCACTCTCTCAAATTGGGCGAGCAGTCAATTCAAGATTTCTACTCCTCCATGAAGACACATTGGGATGCTCTAGCATTAAAGGAACCTACAATTGAACATGGTCCTAGCGTAGAAATAATTGCCAAATCTCGATAAGAATTTCAAGTTATTGAATTCTTAATGGCACTCTGTCTAGAATTTGAGAGTGTAAAAAATGGCCTAGTCTATAGAAGCTCTCTCCCAACTCTGAATCAAGCTCCTTTTCAGCTAATTGGAGAAAAAACCAAGATCAAATCTCTTACCTCAAGTTTTAAAGGAGACACATTTTTGTGGCAACTTGATCTCAGAGATCAAATGTGCTTCAACAAAATCAGCGCAATTCATATTATATTCCTCCCAAGAACATGACATCTGTTGGATGTCACTATTGCAAAGAACTGGGGCACCTCAAGTACACCTATCCAAACAAAAAGAAACCTATCCTACCTATTGTTGTTGATACAAGTGAACCATTGATCAAGAACCCACCAACTCAAATTGGAGGTCACAATAATACCCCCGGTTCACCACCTGTGATATTTACCTTGGAACAAGTGCAATCTATGCTTTCCTAGTCACAGTTGGCCTCAGAACCCTCTCCCTCCTTTTTAGGTAACTATGTTTCTACCTCTTGACTGATCGACTCAGGAGCTTCTCACTATATAACCTCCAATGAGTCAATTCTAATTGATTGAAAGCCTTTTTCTGATACTATCTATACTGTTAATGCAACCATTACGAAAGTATAAAAAATGGGCTCTATATCTCTTATACCTGACCCCTCTGGTAAATTAGAGGTTTCTAATATTTACCAATATTCATTCTCTTGTCATAAATTTATTGTCTGTTGGTTAGCTTACTCGTTCCAATTATACTGCCGTTTTTTCTCCATCTTCTTGCTACATACAGGATCGACAGTCAAGGCAATTGATTAGGACTGGGCGTAAACTTGGAATTTTGTACTACCAGAACTATCTGCATATGCCAAACTCTTTTGTCTGTGCTGTTTCTACTGTTGAAAACACATCTTTATGGTATCAACGTCATGGTCACATCTCTGCTTCTCGTTTACAGTATTTATTTTCCTGCAATGTGCTTGGTAATGTTAGATATAAATTTTTTATTAATGTCCAACATTGTGCAATTTGCAAATTCGCCAAGTCTCATGCTTTACCTTTTTCTCAAAGTACTTCTGTTTCACCTTTTATGTTCGATCTTGTTCATACTGATGTGTGGGGTCCTGCACCTGTTCTATCTAAAGGAGTGTCATGCTATTTTGTCACCTTTATTGATGATCACACTGTTTTCTTTATGAATACTCGTACTGAACTTTTTAGAATCTTCACTCAGTTTTATTCATATGTAGAAACCTAATTTTCCATTAAAAATCAAAGCCCTGCTCTCAGATTCTGAAAGGGAATATGTTAGTGGGTTGCTTCAACAATTTTTGGCTAATCACAACATTCAACACCACAAAATCTGTCCTTATATACCAGAACAAAATGGTGTTGTTAAACGTAAAAATCTTCATATCTTGGAAACCACAAGATCCTTTCTTTTTTCTACATCTGTTCCAAAAGAATTTTGGGCCGAAGCTATTTGTACCTTAGTCTTCCTCATCAACATCATGCCATCATCTATTTCATCTGGTGAAACACCTTTCCAAAAATTGTTTACACGTACACTCAATTATTCCCTCCTATGTGTATTTAGTTGTACTTTCTTTGTTTTATTACCTCCAATTGAGCGAGATAAGTTCTCTCCAAAGTCGATCAATGTTGCGTTATTGGTTACCCTTATCATCAAAAAGGACATAAGTGTTATCACCCTGTGACCAAGAGACTCTGGGTATCTTGATATGCGGTGTTTGTTGAGCACATTCCATTCTTTGGTAATAACAATAATCCCTCATCTTCTCACCTTTTGTTCTTGGTTCTCTTCTCTGATTCTGTGCCTCATTCCTCTAGTCACTCCACCCATGTCGCTCCTTCGGAAGTCTAGGAAGAAACTCCGTCTTCTCATGCTGAAAGTCCTGATCAGAACCCTACACCTACTAATCCTCTGCTGCTCCCTGCTCTTAGACGGAGTACCCGGATATCAGTTCCACCTTCCCGACTTGCTGACTATGAAACCTTCTTACCTCAACACCAAGCTTTCTTTGCCTCTGTTCATTCTTTTTCTAAACCTCAGACTTAAAAAGAAGCTACAAGTCAACCTGAGTGGTAACAAGCAATGACTGATGAGTGGAATGCTCTCGAGCATATGCATGCTTGGGACTTGGCCCCACTCCCGAAAGGAAAAACTATCATAAGTTGTTGACGGGTATATAAAATTAAAACCAATGCAGATGGCAGTCTAGAATGTGACAAAGCCCGCCTGGTGGTAAAAGGTTACAATCATCAATATGGCATTGACTTTGAGGAAACTTTTTCTCCAGTTGCTCATATGATGACAGTTCGTACACTGATCTCAGTGGCTTCTATTCATCAATGGCCTCTTTATCAATTGGATGTAAAAAATGCTTTTCTCAATGGTGATCTTGATAGATCTTGCTACATACGTATAATTAAAGCTACCTCCTAGTGTTGTGGATCCTCACAACCGTGTGTGTAAACTTCGATGGGCCTTATATGGACTCAAATAAGCACCTCGTGCTTGGTTGAGAAATTTCATAAATGAAGTTCTTTCGATTGGATTTCAACAAAGTCATCATAATCTAGCGCTCTTTGTGTCTGAAACTTCTGTAGGATGGGTTCTCTTGTTACTATACATCGACGACATGGTCATCTCTGGTAATGATATGGGCACAATTCATAAAATCAAACAGAAGCTGAATAGTGCCTTTGAAATGAAAGATTTGGGTTTCTTGTTGTATTTCCTTAGACTCGAAGCTGCTTATTCTCCTCGTGGTTATCTGTTGTCACAGCTAAAATATGCTTCAGATATTGTTTCTAAAGCTCAGCTTCAGAATGATACAAAAAAGGTTGATACCCCTCTTGAGGTGAATGCCAAATTTCGAGCTACCGATGGTGAAGCTCTTCCTGACCCAAGCTTTTATAGGAAACTGGTTGGGAAACTAATATATCTAACCATTTCATGCCCCGATATTGCCTATGCAGTACATATGGTTAGTCAGTTTTTGAGTGCCCCGCGTTCTGTACATCTCACTGCTAATTTGCACATCATTCATTATGTTATGGATACCCGTCACTACGCCTTAATCTTCTCCTCTTCTACCTCACTTGAGCTTCGGGCATATAAAGAATCCGATTTTATAGGAAATCTAAGTGATCGCAAATCTACCACAGGATTTTGCATTTTTCTCGGTGATTCTCTCATATCTTGGAAAAGCAAGAAACATAAATGAATTGTTCAATCAACTAGGGAAGCTGGATACCGAGCTATGGCACTGACCACCACCAAGATTGTTTGGCTACGTTGGTTGCTCGCAGACATGGGTGTCACTATCTCCACTCTTGCTCCACTTTATTGTAGGCTTTGTCTCAATGGCACTCTTATTGTCACAATAAAGTGGAGCAAGAGTGGAGATAGTGACACCCATGTCTGCGAGCAACCAACCAACTTTATTGTGTTGTATAACACTTGCTCCACTTTATTGTGACAATAAGAGCGCTCATGAAATTCTGGATTTTTAGAGTGGCAAAGCCTCTTATTGTCACAATAATTCTAGGCTTTGTCTACATAGAAACTGTATCTTACAGTTTTAATAAGTGTTGATTGTACAATCTCTATAAAAATATCATTGTATTGTAATAATATTCATTCAATTGAATTCAGAGAAAGGTTTTTCTCTCACAATACTCATCATAAGTCACTATAGAATTTTGACATCAACTAAAAGAAAAAATGAAAATGCACTTAGAGGGGGAGAGAGGACATACGATCTGTTATTTTTTCATCTCACTTCTTATCTCTCCTCGGGACCCGAATCGAACATAAACAAGCAGAAGAGTATGGGCATGGTAAAATGAACCATGGTAAAATGAACCACATCATCATACAAAGGACGACTCTATTGTGATGTCAACACATCAAAAGCATATGGAAAATAACAAAAGTGTTAAAAAGGAGAGAGATAAGAGAGGGTGCTACATTTCTCCTAAACACAAAAGAAAAGACATGGAAACTTGTAATAGTTAATAGACTAAAGAGGGAAAAATATTAGAAAAGCAAATGTGATCCCAAGTACCACTCTTAGCAAAGAAGACGTACAAGAAAGAAGAGGTAGAAAAGGTATGTTTGTTTTGAAACAAAACATATATAATTTAACAATCCAACACCTATTTCGAAATAAAAAGACTGTCAAAGAACATCAAGAAAGGGCATGCATAAGGGAAGGCATCCTATAGACTTGAACCTTTACATAGTGTTATACAACACACTTATAAGAACACTGAGTAGACAGACCTTGAACTACGTTCATAAACGATAAGCCTCCAAAATACCACACATTCTCTTTCTAAAAGATTTGTTTTTTAAAAAGGCTTATGCATTTAAGGCCCTGTGCTATTCTTGATTTTCATGAGCGCTCTAGAAAATGCCCAATTCCTATAGGAAGCAACTTCCACTTCCACACTCATATAGGTGACTCTATGGATGATGCCCTGCAATGAGACACCCAAACCTAAGCCTCACATCATCTAAGTAAATAGAATCATTAAGAGCAATGCTCAACCTCTCCATTCATTGTCGTAATTGCACCACACAGCTGGGATGGGGCAAATATTTTATAAATTTTCATAATATAATATTTTTGGTGTACAAACTTACATCAGACATCACACGAGTGACTTGTTTTTCCTTTTGAATCTTAGAATTGGGATTTTCTTGTCCTTAGGTAGGATTCCCATCACTTTGTGGCATATTACAAATAGGCTTCAATCCCATCTTTCTAGTTGTCTTTCAGAGTTGGTCCCTTGCAAGGCCTTTAGTTAATGGATCCACCAAGTTCTAGTTAGATTGAACATGGAGTACTGCGATTATTTCATCTTCCAACGGAAGTCTCGATTGACTGTGCTTCAAGAGAATATATCTGGATTTTTCAAACTTACTTTTTACTCGGTATATTGCAGCTTCACCATCACACCACATTGAGACTATAGGCATGGGCTCAGAGACAAGTGGTACGTCTATCAACAAGTTCCTTAGCCACTCGGTCTCTTTACTAGCGACTTCCAAGGCTATCAAGCACTTTTCCATCGTGGATTTGGAGACACAAGTTTGTTTCTTAGATCCCCAAGCAACGGCACCCCCACCGTAGGTGAAGATCCATCCACCAGTAGACATCTGTAATCTAGTTTGCATCGTTGTATTTTTCAAATACAGCAGACTCACCCATATAATGTAGATCATAGTCTATCGTTCCTTTGAGACATCTCAGTACCCTATACACTACACTCTAGTGCTTTTGACTTGGGTTATTGATGCATCTACTCAATTTGCCCACAACAAAGTTATATTAGGTCAAGTGCATCACATTACATACATTACACATCTAATGACTCTTACATAATAAAATTGGGAAACAAAATCGTAATGTGAGCATCATAAGGAGTCGAAATTGGCTTGTAATCAAAGTGACCAAATATTTTGAGCACTTTTTCTATATAATGGCTCTGGGTTAAAACATACCCAATTGGATTCCTCACTATTTTTAATTTCAAGTATCACTTTAACTCTCCCCATGTCATTCATATTAAATTTAAGAAGACAACAAATTATTACTTTATGGATGCAATATTGCTGCCTACTATAAGCATATCATCTATATACAAAAAAATTATAATAATTGCACTATCATAAACTATGATGATACACACATATCAGTGTCACTGATCTGAAATCCATGTGACAAACTAATTCTATTAAATTTTTTGTGCTATTGTTTGGGTGCTTGCTTCAAACCATATCGGGATTTCACAAGTTTACAAACTTTGTGCTCTTGTCGCTTAAGAACAAATCCATCAGGTTCCTCACCATAAATTTCTTCATCTAGTTCACTATATAGAAAAGCTATTTTGATATCAATTTGGTGAATCTTTAGAGGTATATAGAAGTTAAGGCAAAAAGTACTCAAATGGTAGCTATTCGAGCGATTAGAGTATAAGTGTCAAAGAAATCAACACCTTCCATTTATTTAAATTCTTTTGCAACCAGTCTTGATTTATATTTTTCAGTAGTATCATCCTCCTTAATTTCCTTTTTGAAAATGGATTTACATCCTAAGGGTTTAGCACCAGGAGGTAAATCCACTAATCTCTAAGTGTCATTCTCCAGGATCAATTTCATCTCATTATTAACTGGCTCCCTCCAAAAAGAGCATCACATGAGGACAATGTTGGGTTTGTGTGGCCTTTAGAGTCCTTATGAGAGATTGTATGAGCATTTTATATTGAAACATAAACTCAGTGGGATTGTGGTCCTCTTGTGGACCATACTAAATACTCAACTAAGCTTGACGTGCTAAGCCAGTCGTTTGGAAAAACCCAAGATACCTGAGCATAGGGATCTATCGAAAAGGGTTAAGTGAGTTAGCACTTGATGTGGTCGAAGTATGCCCAACTGAGAGCAAAGGGACCGTTCGACCCTTGCATGTGATGAGTAATCTTTAGAGATAGCACTAAAACCTCATCATTATATCATCACACTACATATATATAGATAGCCGTTTTGAGATTTGCAAATGAGGGTGAAGTGTGACCATGTGCGAGAGATTACCCCTATGCACAATAGATTCATGGTTGCATCATGATCTGGAATGCAATAATTTTTTTGTCCCTAGGGAAGAACTTGAAATCTATAAACTGAGATTGCGCCTCCTAGTTTATTGGCTGACTTTGGTGGTCCAATTATAAGCCTCTGTAGTGGATTGTTGGTCATAGGAATTGCTGGGCCAGTTTGAGAAAGGTAGGTGGATCGTGGTCCGAAGTTGAAGGTGAAATACACCTGTATATTGATAAATTCCTAGATCATGTGGATCTAATTCCCATCAAAATTAATTACTTTTAATTAATTTTATGATATATGATTTTTATAATGTTTATATGAACTTTTGTAAATCTTCTGATATTTTCTTTTTGTCATTTGGATTTATAAATTAAGATAAATTAATTTTTTAATGTTTTAAATAAAATATAATATTTAAATACTCTAAATACAAAATAAAATATTTTCTAAAATTATATGAGACTGTCCATAAATATGGGGTCCCAATTTAGAATACGTGGGACTGAGTGAGGCCCACGTGTGGCCACCAAAGGGTGGGTGATAGTTATCCCCTTGTTTGTTGACTTATCTTTTGGGGTAAAGCCAACTTGTATGAAAAGATTAAATATTTGAAATATTCAGAGAATCTTTGAATCAAGATTGCTTGATCCAAGAAATAATGATTTGATATATTAAAATAGAAAGTAAGATATATATTTTCTTTATTTAAATAGTTGATAGAAATAGATCTAGGAAAGAGAAGATAAGGCTCTAACTCATCTCTTTGAATCTTGATGGTTGGTCAAAGAGATGGATGGCTCAAATCTCTCATCCCACAAGTCTCCTTAGATCGACGATTAAGATTTGACCCCACGAATTGAGAAAAACCCCAAGGCATAGAAAATTTATATAATGAGGCTCTCCCACCTCATAAAGTCTTGATACTTATTCTCTTCTCTCTCTAAGGGTTTATCTCTCTCTCTCAAAGATCTCTTTATAAGTGGCACACCCTACCTAGGGCTTCAAGATCTCTCCCAAGTTTTTCTAATGAGGGCACGCCCCAACCAAAATCTCTCTCAAGCCAAGAGGGGATGCCCAAGTCATCTCTCCCTCTCCCTCCCTCTTTCTCTCTCTCTCTCACTCTCTCTCTCTCTCGTTTCGAGGTGGTACGTCCAAATTAAGGTTAGCTTGTGGTGGTTTTATTTTTGGGTAGCAAAGGGGAGGATCCTCTTGCTAGTAGATCTCTCTCTCTCGCTTTGATTTATCTCTCATCTTTCTAATGATCAAGACAAAGGGGCCTGAGCAAGACTAAGGCATTGAGGTCTTAGGTAGTTGGTTTTAGATTGATCCATGACTCCAAAGATTTAGCCAAAGGGGCTTGAACAAGACTATGCTTTGAGGCCTTTGGTAGTTGGTTTTATATCGAGATCCATATGCCATTGAAAGAGCTTTTATCATATATAGGAAAATTAAGAGATCGATCATAGATCCTGAGTACCATCGGAAGGACGAGACTCAGTGTAGGGTGTACTAAGCACAGTTGAAGTAATCTTCGAAAATTTTACTTCTTTAAATCTTTCTTTGTGATTTGATATTCTATTCTTTTAAACTAATGAGTTAATATTTTGATTTAAGGAATTG